ATGACTAGTAATAATCAGATACAACAGATTAGAGACGCAAGCGCCAACATCTCCGTGTTAGTAGCAAAAACAATGAGTCTTTCTGCAACGAACGATATATTCTAAAATGAAATGGAGATCTTTTCTAAAGGTTAAAAACTCATTCAATTTTATTTCTTACAGGGCTTATACTGAGTACAATATTGTATAACTGTATTAATTCAACTGTGAACCTAGAAACTTATAGCCACTTGTGAAAGAGATGTACTCTTGCTCTGGAGTGTGTTACTGAATATGTTAAAGCTGTAGTGAAATGCTTCTTCTCATCATGTAGTTATTAAAAATTTTTTAAAATGATTAAAAAATTATTCTTCAAAGCATAAAAATTTGTTCCTTAATAATCAGTAGATGTGAAAAACATTACCATTGAAATCTACCTGGCAACTTTATATCCATACTCAGATGCCAAGGAGCTCAGAAAGTAACCAACTGTGACTAGTAATAATCAGATCTACAGAGATTAGAAACACATGTGCAAAGATCTTAATGTCAATTGCATTAAAAATGAATTTTTTTGTAAAAAAAGTTTGAAAAGAGAGATAAGTAAATAACTTTTTTTTACTTTATATGATTTATCAGGTAATAGCATATACTAATACATATTTGCACATATGATAACACATATCCTTCTCACTGTTTATATGTATGTAATATATCACGTGTTCAAGTTACCACAAGTGGTAATTCATGTTTTACATTGTCCTCCAGCCCAGCGTTTTTTGTTGTCTTTATTGTACTTGCTTGCTGTGGAGATCTCCACCGCCAGGTGCCTGCAAATTACATTCTCCTGGGATTCTTTGTAAGTAACCCTTGTTGGTGCATGCCCACCTCTGAAAAAATCCTTTTGTGAAGTCCCTTCATTGTGGAAACTTCTATGCAACAATACAGGTAGGGGTGTTTTTGAAACTCTCCTGGAATAATTCTGGCTGTAAAGAAGTAGTAACTTGCCCAGGAGACAGCATCCTCATGTCTTTACTACACTGTATCCCAGGCTACTCCTTTGTTCTGGCAAACCTGCCTCTATTGAGACTATACAAGAGTCCCTACCCAGTCAGGATGGCATCCCAGGAGCAGCTACCTTGACTGCTACCAGTCCTCTCTCTGTCAGGGATGAACACATTTTCTAATGGGGAGTGGCTTCCACATCTAACTCACAAACCTGTCAGCTATAAATGTAATTTTTTTCATTTTTGTAAAAATGTCTTTTATTTCAAGTGCCCCTTGGGAGCAGGTTCTTCCCCAATTCCACAATGTTCTTCTCAATATAGGGGTCTTTTCCAGTGCAAGAGCATCTACCACATTCTCCCACAGTCTGGTTTCTGGTTCCCCAACACCTTGTGGCGTGGTCTCCATCTTCAAGCCTCACCACTTCTACCCTTCTCTCCCTCAGTGTTGTTCTAGCCACACAGAACCATGTGACCCCTTCCTTTAGCAGTCTTTTTTTTTTTTTTTGGTCTTTTTGAGACAGGGTCTCCCTGTAGCCCCAGCTGTCCTGGAACTCACTATGTAGACCAGGCTGGCCTTGAACTCACAGAGATCTGCCTGCCTCTGCATCCTGAGTGCTGGGATTAAAGGCGTGCAACACCACACCCGGCTCAACAGTCGTTTTTTTTTTTTTTTCAATGCCCATGGGGACCTCAGAAGTAGATACATGAGCTCCTGGACTTCTTTTTTTCAAAATTTTATGTGTATGAGTGTATTGCTTGCATGTAGGTAGGTGCACCTGTGTTGTGCAAGGGCCTCGGAGGTCAGAAGAGGGTGTCAGATTCCCTGAAACTGGAATTACAGTTGTTAGCCGCCATGTGGGTGCTGGGAATCAAATCTGGGTCCTCCACAAGGGCAGCCAGTGCTTTTAACCACTGAGCCATCTCTCCAGCCCCACTCCTGGACTTCTTAAACCTGAATAGAACCAGAATCTCTCATCATTTGACCACCATCCCAACCCCAGGCTAAACATTCTGGAGGGTTCCAGGGCTTATTCTCAGAGAATGAGCAGCATCTCAGAGTCATCCCCTAACCCTGACTCTCACTGAAGAGTCTGGCCAAACCTCTTACCTCCTTGGTCTTCCAGCAGCTCACTGGTAGTAATCATCTAGGGTGTTTTGATGCTCTTGGGAAAGTCCAGAATTGTTGCCCCAGTGACTCAGGATAGCCAGCTCTGGTGTTTGTGTTTCCTCCATGCAGTGTTGACTATTCTTTCCTATGAAGATTTATTTACTAATCTGTTTATTCCTTAGCTGTTTCCAAATCGGATTTGAGGTAGCTTACACAAATATTTGCAATACAAGGAGATAAGATACATTGATAGGGAAATCCAATGGAAGGAAAAATAGGGTAGGGAAGCAAACACAGTGATTTTGACTTTTGTGCAAAACTCCGGAGTCCTGTGTACTCGAGGGTCCTGATACTAGATTTGGGTTTACCAATGATGTGAATCTCAGCATTAGAACCAAGAAATGCTTATTGTAAGTTATCTGTTGGAAGGAATAGGCTGGAGAATGTGGCTATCTGCTGCTGGTAGTTGGCACTTCCTTCAGGGTTAAGGAGTCTTTCTTAGCTGGAGTGGATCCCTGGCTCATTGCCCAGGACATTAAGTGGATTTTCCCAGTTCCTGTGCTATAGTGCAGATTATGTGATATTTTCAAGGTGTTTTCTTCATCTTTTCCTGGATCAATTATTTCCTGTTTCTCGGGGATGGAGAGAGAGAAAAGGGGGAGAGAGAGAGAGAGAGAGAGAGAGAGAGAGAGAGAGAGAGAGAGAGGAGACTGAAACAGAGAGAGGGAGGGAGACAGAGAGAGAGAGAGAGAGAGAAGAGGGGAACTGTGAATTTCTGAGGCTCTCTTCTGAGCAGGCTTGGCTTTTACAGTGGCTTCCAGCTTGAAGTTAGTCCCTCTTCCTCTCCCTTCCCAGTCCTTACTGACTGTCTTTCCAGTCTCTCCACAGACAGACAGACAGACAGACAGACACACACGCGCGCGCGCGCACACACACACACACACACACACACACACACACACACACACTTTACGTGCTAGTGGAGCTGGAGAAATATGAAGCAATTGCACCAGGAGAAAAGGAAGAACATATCTTAGAAGGAAGTTTGGAATTGAGCACATTATTTAAATATCATTGGTACATACAATAAATCCATTTTTTCCTCTAATGGAAATAAGGACTGCCTTCTTAGACAAGCTTAACAAAGCAGAGCATGAGGCAATCAGCCACCAGGCCTAAGAAATCCAGCAAGTGACTGGTGGGATTTTTGAGGTCCCAGTTCTGTTCCAGCTTCTGATCCGGTCTATCATTGTCTGACTGGAGAAGTTCAAAGTCAGTCTTGTCTGAAAACCTTGGTTAAGGATATGCCCTCCTTTTCATTCTCTGAGACTAGAGAACTTCCCTCAGTTCTTTCCATGAAGACCATCAGTTCCTAGTTTGCACTGGCAGTGTCCTGTGGGCTGGGGAACTTCTTGGTCTTCCCAGCTGCTTGCTGTTAGTGGCTCCTGAGCAACTGTGCGTCTGCCACATTGCCGTGTCTTTCTTGTTCTCACCCTCAGCCTTGCATGCCTGCTGGCTCTCAGCTTTCCCGCCTCTCCCACACCACCCACAGCCTGTCTTGACAATCTGAATCCTCCAGGGTGCCCTCCTGTGGGCACCTCTGCCAGGCACTGCCCTGCAGCCTCTTATCCTGGCACTGAGGTCTCAGTTCCAAGGCATGAAGAAATATTTTATGCTCACCAGGTACTAGGGACAATGGCAGTATCCAAAGTGTGGGCAAAGCATTCATGGAAACAGCATATGCTCTTCTGATAAAGTGTGCAGATAGTGTGTGGATGGCCCCATCTGACTGATAATACAGTCCACAAATGAACCTTTTACCTGGGTTTCCACATTCACAATTAGAACATAGTTCATTCACAGAGTATGTTAAAGTTCTTACTGTGGTCTAAGAAACTTTACTAATAAGATGATTTTTCTCTTGTCAGTCCTAGGGAGAGTGTGATAGAAATGATTAGTTGTACCATTTGTTTCCCATAACCACCCTGTGACCCCAGGGTTGTGTTTCCACTTGTTCTTGAGACCCTGTCCAATTGCACACATCTCAGATCACCTCCTCTGCAGTCTAGGACTCGGCCTCATTCTTCGAGAATCAGGCTGCTGATTCACTGCGAATTTTGGTTTTAGACACTTCTTCAAGGTCTGCTGTTAGGAGGTGTGTCAGTGTAAGTCTTTGCTACATATTTCTGTTTTATCGTGTATGCCTTTCTTCTTGAGTATGTCTGAGCAATAATCACAGTCTCTGGTTCCAGTTTCTATAATGCGGAGGAAGTATTATGGGCAACGGGAGCAACCACCGTGGTGACATTATCGCTCACTTTATTTGCTCTACAAACAAAAGTACGTATTACTGAAACAAATTTCAGCCATAAGGGAGTGTGCCAGATGTGTTCTTGTGCCCCCTCCCCCCGGCTGTGCTAACCAATGGGCCTCAGATGTCTGGTGCTCTTGCCTTGTCAGAATTGGGTCAGTGGTGCCCCATCTGGATACTGGAGGGAGGAGAGAGGCACTTACTCCTGTGGCTTCCTCTCCACAACTTCTCTTGGGTTGATCACATTCTTTTTTTGTGTGTGTGTTTTTGAGACAGGGTCTCCCTGTAGCCCCAGCTGGCCCGGGACTCACTATGTAGACCAGGCTGGCCTGGAACTCACAGAGATCTGCCTGCCTCTGCCTCCAGAGTGCTGGGATTAAAGGTGTGAGCCGTCACATTCTTTACCCAAATCCACTCACTACTTGTCTTGAGGTGGCCAGTTTAACACAACCCAACTCATGGGCTCCCTCTCCATCTTCCTTGGGGCCTACAAGCAGCCACAGCTACTCACCTAGACCAACTGGTACTGGATCCTCTGAACCGATTTTTGTAGGTGGTTCCTTTACAAACCAACCAACGCTCCTCAAACCATCCTGTTGGGTGTGCCATTTGTTCCCCTCTGGGGATTCATACAAGGAGTTTGAAATTTCAAAGCACTGACTGTTGACCAGAGCTCAAAAGTGCACTAACCTTAGCTTTAACTCAGGAGTACCTTTTTTTTTTGGTGGGGTACTAGATATCAACCCAGGGCCTGTGTGTACTAGGCAATGGCTCTACCACAGTCACACCCCAGTCCGGGACCATTTTTTTTTTAAAGATTTTATTATTTTTATGTGTATGAGTATATTGCCTGCATGTGTGTAAGTGCACCCATGTTGTACAATGCCTGTGGAAGTCAGAGAGGGTGTCAGATCCCCTGGAGCTGGAGTTACAGGTGACTGTTAATCCAATATGTGGGTGCTGGGAATCAAACCTGGGTCCTCTGTAAGAGCAACCAGTGCTCTTAATCACTGAGTTGTCTCTCCAGCCCCAGGCACCATTTTTTAAAAAAATTGTAATGTCATTACAAAAAAATTGTAATCTCTAGTCCTGAGACACTCCTTGAGATTTAGTGAGCTCTTTCCAGTGGCCCTTCCTTTTTCAGTTTTGACCACCTTCCTGTGGTAAATGGTGGGCTCACTTTAGTAAGTTTAATAATTTAGAAAGGCGTCTTTTCTCCATTGTTTGGCCACTTCATAAGGACAGTTTTATACACAGGCAGAATTTTAGCCTGTAGCTGTCAGAAAAAGAAGGCCCAGAGAGGCAAAACGATCTGATTTAGTCAAATTGTATCAAAAGTAGAGAGGTTCAGGGACTGGTGAGATGGCTCCATGGGCAAAGTGCTTGCTGTGGAAGGATGGTGACCTGAACTCGATCCCAGCATCCACATAAGAAGCTGAGCGTGGTGGTAGGATTTTGTAATCCAGCACTGGGGAGGCAGAGTCAGGGAATCCCTGGAGTTCTCTGGCCAGTCAGCCTAGCCTAATTGCTGAGTTTCAGGTCCCTGTGAGCAACCCTGTTTCAAAACACAAGGTGGACGGCTCCTGAGGAATGACACCTGAGGTTGACCTCTGGCCTCCACTCACACCACACACCACACACACACACACACACACACACACACACACACACTCACGTGCATCCCCTCTTGCATCAAGTAGAGCTTCGATTTTAATTTGGAATCGTATCAGTATTTGCCATCTCAAGATGGTCATGAGGTGGTCTGACAGTGCAGGCTAGACTCATCAAGCCATTTAAAACCTAAATGTCAGGATACTTTTTCAGAAACCCTACAAGTATTTGAATCACAGGTAATAGATGACTTGAGATCAGGGCAGTGAAACATTCTAATGGAAAGCATCTTAAAGGTGGTTCTGGTTACTGTAAAATGATTTTAAAAGACAGTTGAACTTATGCTCAACTAAACTTTTTTTTAGGGGCGTCTTTTTGAGACGGGGTCTCGCTATAGCCCCAGCTGGCCTAGAACTCACTGTGTAGCTCTGGTTGGTCTTGAACTCACAGAGATCTGCCTGCCTCTGCCTCCTGAGTGTTGGGACTAAAGGTGTGTACCACTATGCCTGGTTCAACTAAACTTTTTTTTTCTGATGATGATGTGTCATGGGAATCCACACAATTCTCTCCCTCTACAGGAAATGTAACCATGCACTGAGCCTGGGTTTTCTCATCAACACCAACCTGTCCACTTGGGGAAACTTTTTAACAGAATATCTACTTGGTTTAAATGTAGTCAGATCCCATTCTTGAAACAGCTCCTTTGGGCTGAGAGATAGTTTCATGTGAACACAAGATGCTCAGCCTCTAGGTCTCCACTGTGCTAGCTTTCCTCTCTAACATGGGTCTGGAAGTTTGGGAGGAAAGTAGGGCTTGTGGGAGCTTTTGGTGCTAGTCAAGGAGAGGGGATGGTGGAAGAGATGTCATGATCCATTACTGTCCTTGAATGATGGTCCACAGGGTCCCAGGGTCACTGTAATGTCTGAAGCTGAAATCCCACCTCAGGTATGACTCAGACGTGTCGGTCTTGAGTCTGGTCAGAGCTGGCAGGGGTTCACTCTGAGTCAACCTTGCCGCAGCTCTCCTCCTTTCTGCCAAAGAGGAGCAAGCCTTAAGACTTCACCATCAAGAGCCAAATTCACTGCTGTCTAGACTTGCTCTGGCCAAGAGGAACATAGTAGGAGCCTCAAGTCTAGGTCATCACATAATTTGAAATTTCCTAGAATTCTAGTTTGCTTCAATTGCTGTGACAAAACACTCTGACCAATACCAACTTGGGGGAGGAAAGGGTTTATTTGGCTTACATCTCCTGGATCACAGTTTATCACCGAGGGAGCCCAAGGTTGGAAATCAAGGCAGGAACCTGGAGGCTGGAGCTGAAGCACAGGCCATGGAGGAATGTTGGTTACTGGCTTGCTCTTCTGGCCTGCGATCAGCCTGCTTTCTTATGCAATACACGACTACCTGCCCAGGGGCGGCACTACCAACAGTGGGCTGGGCCTTCCCACATCACTCAACAATCAAGAAAATGCCCCACAGACATGGCCACAGGCCAGTTCAATGGAAGCAATCCCCCAGTTGAGGCTCCTTCTACTCAGGTGTGTCAAGTAGACAACTAAAGCTGTCCAGCACATCTAGTAACTACATTAAAAAGGTAAAAAAAAAAAAAAAAAAACAGAGGGAACTAATTCTCTTTATTTAATCCAATATATATGAAATATTAACAAGTAATCCATATGACAAAAAAATTATCACTTTGCATTTTAGTATATATTTCCCACTCTCAGCAAATCTCAATTCAGATCAGTCAAATGTGGCTAGCAGCTCCTGTATTGAAAACAACAGCTGGAGGTTAAATACCTCTTGCATCTGAATTCCCTAGGGGTGCTTTGATGGGCATACAGATGGACACTGTTGGGTCAGTGGGGCTGGATAGGGCCTGGACATTAGTGCTTCCCAATGGGGCTAAAGGGTCTGCAAGTCTAAGAACACTTGGAGAACTAATCACATGTATTATTCTCTGGTGTATTAAGGGCAGGGGGGAAAAACGAAAGAAAATATCTTGGGTATTTTCAGTATTGAGCCTGTTGCTTTCATAATTAAAATTCTTTTCATGTCCTTTAAGGAAAAAAAAAACCTCTTAGGTCACTAATTTATAAAGGCAAACCCAAAATCAACATTAATAAAATTCAAAGTTACAAATGAATCAACAGTAGTTTGTGGAAGCTTAATATAAAAAATATAAACTTGCATAAGAGACACTGTTAACATAATGGTATATTTCATTTTCTCAATGCCTATATATATATGTTTTTAAAATATGAATAATTGGGTCTGGAGAGATGGCTCAGCGGTTGAGAGCACTGACTGCTCTTGCAGAGGACCTGGTTTGATTCCCAGCACCCACATGGCGGCTACAAACTGTCTTTAACTCCAGTTCCAGGGGAATCCGAAGCCCTCTTCTGACCTCCTCGGCATTGCACGACACGGGTGCACTCACTTACATGCAGGCAATATACACTTATACACATAAAATAAAAATAATATTTTTAAAATATGAATAATTATGATCATATTATACATACACATTTATATCTTACTAGTGTATCATTTTATTAGAGGAAAATTTTTTTAAGATAAGGATTCATGTATAGGAGGCTGGCTTTGAACTTGCTATATAGTGCTATATAGTGGCAGATGACCTCGAACTTCTGCCTCTACCTTCTGAGTGCTGGCACTACAGGTGTGATCCTCACACCTGGTTTTAAGGGGGAATTTCCCATAAATACAAAAATAGGATACATGTAATAAACTTTCATGTACCCATTACCCAGTTCGAAAATCATCAACTAGTGGCTCCCATTATTTCATCTTAACTTCCACCTTGTCCTCCCTCCTGAAGGAAACCCCAGTGAATGTGATACTTAATGTGGCTAATGCATTTCCATGGTTCTCAAAATTGGTCAGGGCAAATTGTGCATGGGTAAAAATGTATGTATGAACATCAGAAACCCAGTCTTGATGTTGAAGAAGCCTTGCTCTGTTTGTTTCCTCAGTTGGATTTTACTTTGCTAAACGGAGTCCTGTTTGTGTGCATCATCGTACTAATGATCTTTGGAATTGTCCTAATTGTTGTACGAACATTAGTAAGTGCCTATCATTTTGAAACCCTTAAGAAGTATTCAAAGTATGAGGAAGTGCTGGCTGGGTCAGGCTCCGTCCTTCGAGAAGCAGACATGGCATAGGGTTAGCTAAGCATGCAAGGATTATTATTATTATTAATGTTATTATTTGTGGCGCTGGGGATTGAATTCAGGGCCTTGAATACAGTAGGCAAGCACTCTACCTCTGAACTACATCCCTAGCCCTTGGCAAGGCTTTTCAAAATTGTCCTTGAGACTAAAGACAAATTGCAGGGGATGGCACAGCCCAGCATCTGAGGCTCAGGGTGTATTACATTCCCCTTCAAGTATCCAAAGGTCTTTCAGGTCCATCTTAATGGCACACAGGTATCATTGGGGAAGTACCATAGATAGGGGATTGAGTGTGTGACTATTGATCCTCTACTCTAGACAACAGTGGTCCTTCCCTAACAGGTTCTTGAGGAGATGGTATCCTCAGGGGCAGACCCAATGTCCTCTCCTGCATGCAGGCGCTGCTTGCTTGAAGTGGGAAAGTGGGTTCTCTGGTCTTTCCAACAGCATCCCACAGGAGGCTGCTTAGTGTCCTAGATTGCTTTCTGTTACTGTGTAAAACACTGACCAAAACCAACTTGGGGAGGAAAGTGTTTATTCTAGCTTACAGGTTACAGTCCATCATCAAGGAAGCCAGGCAGGAGCTCAGCAGGAATGAGGAGGAAGGAACTGAGGCAAAGGAACACTGCTTCCTGGCTTGCTTCCCCTGTCTTGCTCAGCTACCTTTCTTATGCAGCTCAGGCCCACCTGTCTAGGGTTGGTTCCACCCACGGTGGCCTGGGTCCTCTCACATCAATTAGCAATCAAGAAAATGTCCCACAGATATGTCCACAGGCCAATCTGATGGAGGCAATTCTTCAGCTGAGGTGCTCAAGAGGGAAGACCCAGTTGGGTCAAGTTGACAACCAAGATTAGCCATACAGTGTCTACTTGGCTTTTCCTTTAATATATATTCATTGAATTCTTTTTTTGTTATTATTTTATGTGTATGTGTGCATTGCCTGTATGTGAATAAGTGCACCCATGTTGTGCAATGCCTGCAGAGAACAGAAGAGGCCATTGGATCCCCTGGAACTGGAGTTACGGACAGTTGTTAGCTGCCATGTGGGTGCTGAGATTCGAACCCAGGTCTTCTGCAAGAACAGCCAGTGTTCTTAACTGCTGAGCCATCTCTCCAGCCCCATTCATTGAATTCTTATTTGAAAAAAAGACATATCTCTGTGATGTCTTTGACTTTGTCTTCAAAATATAGGTACCAGCTCTCTGGATATCATATACATAGTTATTTGTCAAACTAGACAATCCCAGCCAGAACTCCTAGTCATATGTTTGAAGATCATATAAAAGGTCCACTTGCTGCCAAATAAATTCTTTGGTTCAGCACTCGAATCAAGATGACCTTGGAACTTTAGTCAAAGGGTGACAGGTCCCAGGCTTGTCCTCAATGAACCTGACCTCCAGCAGGGTCTCCATATAGGGACACTCAGATCCTATAGGACCATATCGCATATATATTGCTTTCTCCATTTCTGCTCCAGAGCCAGTCCATGCACAAAGCAATGAAGAGTGGAACACTGCCTGACGTCACGTAGGCCCATTGACCCATGTCACCTCCACCCCTTACTGCCTGGGGGAACTCTGAATGGATTAAAGTTCTCTGAGTCTGTTTGCTCATCTATAAAATGTACAAGAAATAATGCTCAGGAATGTTGTGAGAATTGATGTGATGCCTAGATGAGAAATACACACAAGGCCTATATCTGACATCAAATAAGAATTCAATTCCCAGGCTGGAGAGATGGCTCAGTGGTTACAAGCACTGACTGCTCTTGCAGAAGACTCAGGTTCGATTCCCAGCACCTACATGGCAGCTAAGAACCATCCTTAAGTCTGGTTCCAGGGAATCAACACCCTCTTCTGACCTCTGCAGCACTGCACGACATACACTCACATACATGAAGACAATACACTCGTACACATAAAATAGAAGCAAAAAAATTGAAAAAAAAAAAAAAAAAAAGAAAAACAAAGAATTCAGTTCCCCGTGCTTGGAGCTGAGGAGAAGGCAAATCCTCCAGGAGGGTTATATGGATAAGGCAGGCAGTGAACCATGCCCCACATGAATGCAATGTAAAACACTTACTTGATGAATACTATCAGCATGTTTTGAGGTTAGCTTTCCTTTGCTTGCTTATTGGAACTGAGTGGTGAGTAGATGCTGGTTACTAGGTTCAAGAAAAGGTTGATTCCCACTGGTTTGGCTGTCCTCACGTTGGGCGCTTATCTGAGGTAATGACTTTTGTAAGCATCTTTGCTACTCCAGATCTTGTTAAGCTACACTTGTTTGCTTTCTCTGCAGTGGCTACATGTACTGTATGCTGCTCTGGGGACGGTACTTTTCTCCATGGTAAGTCGTTTTCTCTCTCTGCACTGACAGGCCTCATACTGGGCAATGGAGCCAGTCATTCATTAAGAAACAACATTTGTGGGGCTGAAAGTATCACATTTTGGGGCTGGGCATTGGTAGACTGCTTGCCTGACACATACAGGGTCCTGAGTTTGGTTCCCACTACCATACAAACAAAAATAAAAAACAATAACGAAATAGGAAAATATGACTTTCCTTAAAGAGTCAATGTTTCAGAAAAGAAAGGCTTATGTAGAAGTCTTGACACTTGTTGCAAGGCATGCCTTAATTTTCTCCCCAGGTAGGCCTCTCAGCCTGTTCCTTTTTACCAGGCACTTCCTGCAGGGACCTGGTAGGGTCACCACTGATACCTTCAGGGATCTCTTTCTGCTTAGTCCTATCTCTTGCTGATATAGCTTTACTTTTTTTTTTTTTTTTTTTTTTTTTGGTTTTTTTTAACAAGGGCCCCTCTTGCTCAGCTGTATTTGCATTATTCTCTCATTTAATCATTGAGTCTTTTTCAAGTTTTCTCTCTTCTGCCTCCCGAGTGCTGGGATTAAAGGCATGCACCACCATGCCTGGCATGCATTACTTTTTAAATAGAATATTCCTTAAAAATAACTGTAAAGCAGCCGGGCGTGGTGGCGCACACCTTTAATCCCAGAACTTGGGAGGCAGAGGCAGGCGGATCTCTGTGAGTTCAAGGCCAGCCTGGTCTACATAGTGAGTTCCAGGACAGCTGGGGCTACAGGGAGACCCTGTCTCAAAAAGACCAAAAAAAAAAAAAAAAAAAAAAAAAAAAAAAAAAAAAAAAAAAAAGTAATGCATGAGTGTATTTTAAAATCCAAACAACATGGATTCAAAATGAAAATAAAACTCACCCTCTTCTCCCTATAAGTAACCCCTGGTCATAACAATTTCTGGGAGTCTTTTTGGATGTTCTTTACATATATGCACCATTTCCTCCTCCACTAAGGTGGTCACACTCTGAATGATAATCTCCTTTTGCTTTTTTCCTAAGAATAATGTTTTCAAGCCAGGTGTGGTGGCACATGCCTTTAATCCCAGCACTCAGGAGGCAGAGGCAGGCAGAGCTCTGTGAGTTCAAGGCCAGCCTGGTCTACATAGTGAGTTCTAGGACAGCTGGGGCTGCAGGGAGACCCTGTCTCAAAAAAGACCAAAAAAAAAATACCAAAACAACAACAGTGGTTTCAGGGATGGAGAGATAGCTCAGTGGTTAAGAGCTAAGATCACTGGCTGCTCTTGGGGTTCAGTTCCCAAGACTGACGTGGTGGGTAACAATGGTCTATAACTCAAGTTCCAAGGGATCTGATGTGACATCCTCTTCTGACCTTCGAGGGAACTACAGGACATGGATTCACTTATAATACATGCAGGCCATACACTCACACACATAAAAAAATAATAATTTTAAAAGGAATAATGGTCTCCAGACACTGGGAGAGCTGGGTCTAACTCATTCTTTTTAAGGCTTGCGTGTATTCCATTTTACGCTTTATCATCACTTCTTTTCGTGTTTAAAAAAAATTGTGTGTGGCACTGTGGATCAAACCCAGGATCTTTTACGTGTCAGGCAAGACCTCCATCACTGAGTTACACTTACGAGGAGTTAAAGAAAAAAAAAATTGTGTGTGTGTGGGGGGGCATGTGCACGCATGTGTGCTGGCGTGCGTACACAGAAGTTGGAAGACGACATTGGGTGTCCTGCTTTATCACTCATCCTCTTTATTCTTTTGAAACAGGCTTTCTCACTGAACCTGGAGTTCAGCTGGTGGCCAGCAAGCCCCAGTGATCTTCCTGTCTCCACCTCCACAACTCTGGGGTTACAGGCACATGTGTACATTTGCACATGTCACACTGGGCTTTTTACATGGGTACTGGAGATTTGAACTTAGGTCCATGGGCTTCTGCAGCAAACGCTCTTACCCGCAGAACCATCTACGTAGCCCTCAAGAAAAAAAGTCTTAACAGAGGGTCTCACTATGTAGTCCTTGCTGGCCTGTAAATTGCTATGTAGACCAAACTCACAGAGATTTACATGCTTCGGTCTCCCAAGTGCTGGGATTAAAGGCATGTGCCATCACACACCTAGCAAGAAAAAAAAATTTTTTTTGGTCTTTTTTGAGACAGGATCTCCCTGTAGCCCCAGCTGTCCTGGACCAGGCTGGCCTTGAACTCACAAAGATCTGCCTGCCTCTGCCTCCCAAGTGCTGGGATTAAAGGCGTGCGCCACCATGCCTGGCCCTGAAAATTTATTATAAGAATTTCTAAACATTTTGAGAAAGTGAAGGAATGGCATGGTGAACCCCATGTAACCATCACCAAACTTTAAAGGCCCCACATTCATGTCACTGCATTCCTTTTGGTACCTGGTGTAGTTGTTTTCCTTTACGTGCCAGGAAAAAAGTATGCAGTTGAATTTCCTCATCTCTTCTTATCATACAGGAAATGATTTTTGCCCACCTTCCTTTTCCTCTGTGAGCTCAGCCTTTATGTGCTATTTGTGGGCCTGCATTAGGCACAGTTCTTTTTCACAAAAGCAGGATGATAAAGGAAAAGCAAAAAGTCCTGTAGATTCAGGCAGGCCCCCCAACACCAAATACCTGTAGGAGGACAGTGTGTGCGCATATGTGTGTGTGTGTGTGTGTGTGTGTGTGTGTGTCTGTGTATACACACACTTGCATGTGGACTACCAGAGTTCTGTTTGGGGGTGAGTCAGAGTACTACACTTGAAAATGCTCCCAGGGGGTCAGAGTCCAGCTAGAGGTTGGCTGTGTCTTGGATGGTATCCTGAGCCTCTGTCCCTTTAGAGGGACAGGGCACAACTGGATTCTTGCTCATTTTCCTCTCCCACTGGACACATAACTGCACTACCTAAACTACCTGCTCATGCTGTGAAATGATTGAGTCATTATACCTCTTATGAGAAGTAAGATTAATTCAGGGATCTTTAGAGGGAAGGGAAAAGTCCTTTTTCCCAAGTCAGGACTCTAGAATGCTAGAAACATGCTCAGCTATTAGGACATTTGAGTGTCCAAATTGTCCTAGTTTGCCTGGAGCTGAGGGGCTTCCCAGGACAACTAAGTTTCTTGGGACAGATTTCACAAAGTGGATGTTATTCTAAAAAGGATTAAAAGCCTGGTCTACAGAGTGAATTCCAGGACAGTTGCGGCTATAGGGAGACCCTGTCTCAAAAAGACCCAAAAAAAAAAAAAAAAGTTTGTCTGACAGGGCCCCATCACAGCACTAGGCTCTGAGTCTAGCCTGGATGCTGTTACCTGGTCGCCTCATGTGGCAGTAGGCACGAGGCTAAGAGAGGGCTCTTTGCTCTTTTTCACATTGATGTTTAGGAACCTGTAATTTTACCTACTGAGCTGAAATGTCCTGGGGTTTGGAGGATCATCTAACCACACACTTCCTTCTCATTCTGTTTTGGGTATAGAGACACCGCCACAATGCTATCCCTAGATGGTAAGATTTGCTATTGCCCAAAGCTCCAAGAATCCGATTCTTAAAAAAAAATTTGTATTATTTTTATGTGTATGTATGTTTCGCCTGTAGGTATGTAAGTGCATCATGTACATGCAATGCCTGCAGAAGCCAGGAGAGGCCTTGGATCCCATTAGCCACCATGTGGGCGGGGGGAATGGAACCTAGTCCTCTGTAAGAGCAGCCAGCGCTCTTAACTGCTGAGCCAGCTCTCCAGTTCCAGACTTTGGCTCTTACTCTGAGTGGGAAGGAAGCATCTTGTTTTGGTGTAGTAAGTGTGGGGAAGACACAGATATAAGGAAGCTTGTAGTGATGTGTTCATCTGGTCCACATCACTGATGGAGGTCACAAAGGTTTTTGGGGTTGGAAAGCAAAGGAAGTTCACACATTTGGTCCCATAGGCTTCAGCATGTTGAGGCACTTGCTCTCAGAGTGCAAAGTAGGGAGATTTCATCAGTGACAGATATGAAATATTAAGTTCCAAATTGACTTTCTATATAATTTTCCTCCCTTCCTTCCTCCTTCCATTTCTTCCTTTTTGAGATGGGGTTTCAAGTAGCCCAGACTGGTCTTTAATTTGCTATGTAGTTGAGGATGACCTTGAATTTCTGACCTTCCTGTCTTCATCTCTCCAGTGCAGGAATTACAGGCAGGTACCACCAAGCCAAGTTTATGAGGGTACTGGGAATGGAATCCAGGGCTTCACGTATGCTATGCAAGCACCCTAACAACTCAGCTATATCCTCAGCCCTCTACATTTTTCTTAATGACAAAAATAACTTTTTCCAGGGGTTAGAGAGATGGCTCAGTGGTTAAGAGCATTGGCTGCTTGCAGAGGACTGGGGTTCAGTTCCCAGCACCCACATGGAGGCTAATAATCATAATTCCAGGATCAGATGCCCGCTCTGGCCTCTGCAGGCGTTCTATATATGCAGACAATACACTTATATATGTAAAAAAACCCAAAAAACAACAAAAACCTTTTCCTAGATCATTTATGACACTTTGTTGGTAGACATGTACAATTTAACTGGCTAATTCTTCCTTTTCTTCAAGTACTTGGTGATGGATGTGCAGCTGATGGTTGGAGGGAACCATCATTCTACCCTCAACGCTGAAGAGTATGTGTTTGCTGCTCTGAATATCTACTTGGATATCATCAACCTTTTCCTTTTTATTCTGCAACTGATTGCAATGGGCCGGTAGCTGATGGCCAGGCTTTTGTTGAGACGAGGGAAGAGGGGACACCTGTGAAGTGTTGCCAGACTCAGGCTTGCACGGGTGACTTCATAAGTCCTTTCATTTTTTTAGTGATTTATTATTATTTTTTGTCAAATGAAACTAAGCACTCAGTAGATGGTAACTGTTGTTATATCTTTTATTTCCATTGTCACATAGCAAAACTTTCTGGGAAATATTTGATTTTTATATTCAAAATGAGTATCATAATTACATATTCATATACATTTATAAGGTGCCCATTGGTTTATTGAAGGTTTCCGGGTATGATTTAGAGCTGTAAACACCTCTGTATGTGAATAAAGCTGATTATAGAAACCCCCAAATACTTTATTTCTCTTGATGTGGACATTGTGTGGGAATATTTTAGTGTCTTTAATAGTAGGAAAAACATATTGGGCCATATTAATAGCTGTCTGGGGAACGTGTAGCCCATGGGCCACAGGCTGAACAGGTCTGTGAGTTTGGAAACACAAGAATCAACTGTTAATACCCACAGTGAGTCCTGAGTTATAAAAATACAGAGAGCTCACAATGAACTCACATTCATTTGCTTGTTGCTCTAAGCAGGTCAGTAAATCATAGCCTGTGGGCCAATATCTGGCTTGGCACCTGCCTTTTAAAAAACTTAAAAGGGATAATTATAGGTTCATAGGAAGTCATTAAGTTAGCAGAGAGGCCTTGTGTAAACCATTACCTGGTTTTCTCCAGTGATAATCTCTCACATGATTCACAGTATCAAAACAGGTGTTGTTTTTTTTTTTAAAGACAGTGTCACTATGTAAGCCAGACTGACCTGGATTGTACTTTTCTTGTCATTGAAAAAGTTACATGAATGGGGTGCTGGAGAGATAGCTTAGCAGCTAAGAGCACTGGCCACTCTTGCAGAGGACCTGGGTTAGATTCTCAGCACCCACATGGCAGATAACAACCATCTGTAACTCCAGTTTCGGGGGATCTGATGCCCTTTTATGACCTCCTTGGGCACTGTACACACAGAATGCACTTACATACATGCAGGCAAAACACTCAAATACATAAAATTTATGAATCATGTTCAGGTTTTTTCACTGTGGTGTCTAGGAATGCAAGTGTTGAATCATATGGTAAGTATATTACTAGGTTTTTGTATGTGTGTGTGTTCATGTGTGTCACGGTATGTACATGCCAAGGTGCACATATGGAGGCCAGAGGACAACCTTGGGTGTTGGTACTTGCCTTCCACATTGTTTGAGACCATCTCTTGTTTGTTGTTTGCTGTTGTGTGCCCAAGACTGGCCCATGAGCTTTCCAGGACCCTCCTGACTCTGCCTCCTAACTCCTTGTAGGAGCACTGGGGTTACAGGTGCATGTTACTATGCTCCGCTTTACATGGGTTCTGGATTTAAACTCAGGACCTCATGCTATTGTGCCAGTGAGCCATCTCTTTAGTCCTATTATTAGTTTTAAAGAAACTACCAAATTAATTTCCAGGGTGGCTGTACCGCTTTATATCTCATCAGCAATGCATGAGCAATCTGGTTTGTTTCTGTGTTCTTACCAGCACTTAGTGTTGACATTAGTATTTCATTTTAGTCATCCTGTGTGGTGTCTTTTTGCTATTTTAGTTTGTGTTTTCCAGATGAGTAGCGATGTGGAAACTTTTTGTCTGTCTTTTGTGTGTGTGTGTGGTGTATGCATGCGAGTGTGCAGGTGTATGTGCCTGTGTGTGTGTGTGCTGGTTTGTTTCTGTGTTCTTACCAGCACTTAGTGTTGACATTAGTATTTCATTTTAGTCATCCTGTGTGGTGTCTTTTTGCTATTTTAGTTTGTGTTTTCCAGATGAGTAGCGATGTGGAAACTTTTTGTCTGTCTTTTGTGTGTGTGTGTGGTGTATGCATGCGAGTGTGCAGGTGTATGTGCCTCTGTGTGTGTGTGTGTGTGTGTGTGTGTGTCGGCCAGAGGAGGAGGTTGGACAGCGCCCTCTAGTGTTCTGCCTTATTCCCTTGAGAAAGGGCCTCTGTGAACTGCAAGCTGTTTCAGTTAGCCTAGCTGGCTAGCGAGCTTCCAGGATCTGCCCGTCTCCTCCCCCACTCCACTGGGGTTACAGGCATGCACAGCCATGCCTGACTTTTTACATGGGTGCTGGGGTTCCAAACTTCATGCTTGCAGAGCAAGCACTCTTAGCCATTATGGCATCTCCCCAGCCCTTCATTTGCTTTCTTTGGTGAAGCATCTCTTCATATCTTTTGTCCATCTTAGGAGTCTTCAGATCTGTTTGCAAACACCTCCTCACAGGCTAACCTCTGTCTTTCATTTTCTTCATAGAGTCTTTCACATTCTGCCTAAATTTGCTTTCTTCCTTCATGGATTATGGTCTTGATATCATCTGGAAATTGTTTCCTGCTCTAAATTCTCAAATTTAAGTCTTACACCCACACTTACCTAGCATGTGTGTGGTTCTAAATTCCACCCACTGTACTGCAGAAGTCTTCTATTCTCTAATCCACTTTAGGTAAGGTGTGAATCACAGACAGAGGTTCCTATTTCTGTCTGCCTCACACCATTTATGACAGTGTCACCTTTGAAGACACTATGCTTCCTCCTTTTGTACCTTTATCACAATAAGCTGAAAAAAATTTGTTACATTTCATCTTATCTATAACCAAAAAAGCCAAAAAATCTTACTGGGTCTTGAGGGTGTAGTTCAGTGGCAGTGTGTTTGACAAGCTTGTAGGAGGCCCTGGGTTTGATCCTCAGCACTGAAAGCAAACAACAAACAAAACAAAACACCTTGCTGTAATCTGGTATAAGTCACCACCAAGCAACTGAAGAAAGTCATCACCTGTGGCCTGGGATTCTCCACTAACTACTGACTCTGCTTCAGGTAGTGGAGTTGGAAACATTCCCTCAGAAGGGCGGCTCTCATTCAGGTAAAACTGTGATACTTACAGGGCCAGGTTCCCTACACTCTCAAACACAGCATTCCTATTAACTAGCAAGGCTCATTTGATTTTGCATCTTATTTAATCCTCCAATTCAAGCTGGTCTACCCAAAGTCTAGATGTCAGAGCAGCATGTCTCAGGGCTTCCATGGGTCAGGCATTGTTTAAACAATTGTTTTCAAAATGGGTGTGCTTCGAGGCTACATCTGGCAGGTGGTAATGCTGTGCTGGGAAGAGGAGTCTCTGACTCAGTCCCTCTCCCTGGAGCTCCTACCTTGTTTCTGCTTGACTACCAGGGAGGGGGTTGCAAGGAAGGCTGAGGATCGATTTACATGTGCTGCTCTTCTTAATATGTGGAAGCCCCTGGAAGTGGGAATCCCATTGACAGTCATGAAACAAGTAGTGGGTCTATAACATCAATTTTAGTATACATTCAGATTTGGAGGGCACTGCATTAGATTGCCTAAAGGACTCCACTCACACGATACCTTTAGTTTCCTTTCACCATTACAGAACATGCTCCAAACCCATGTTCAATACAGGAAAAGATGGAGGAGAGTTGAGAATGTCAACTGTATGTGGCAGTAGCAAAAGGTAGCAAATGTGTGCCAGGTCACACTGCTCCCCAACCAGGTGGGAGTTAGGCTAGCTGCAGGGAAGAAGCACATTAGCTCTTTTCTACTGCAGCCCTTGCTCCAGGGCCTGAGCATCAACAGCTACTGTCCTGTGGCCATGGTGATGCCTCTCAGCATCCAGGGAACAGGGCCCTGGAACTTTCTCCCCTGGACATAGCCACTAGTCTTTGGCACCTTCTGCACCACCTATACCCAGCACTGTGTACAGCTTGCAGGGGCCCTGCCTGCTTCACACTTTAAGGGAGAGCTTTACATTCGCTTTTGCATTGGAACAGTGCCTGACTGTTAATCAAAGACCTTCCATTGTTTCAGTCTATCCACTTAGAGACCAAGGTTCTTATTTTGCCACTCCTTGACTCAGCAGTCAGAGCCACACTGCCTTTCAGCTGGGTCCATGGAGAACTGCCAACTGTGCCATGGAAACACCCCTTCCTCTGCTCGTCTGCCAGAGCAACAAGCCACACACCAACTGGACAGCTCACTTCAAGCTGTACTCTAGTGGCTAAGCCTCTAAACATTAGCTAAATCTGTGTTCATTAACAGGTAGGACTGTGGGAATCCAGAGGTCTCCCCCAGTCCTCACTTCACCTCATACCCATTACTTGGGTGAGAGCGTTCTCTACTATATCCCCAGGGGTCTTACACTTTCATGATAATACTCTTTTGGCTTATGGTTTCTTTTCTAGAAAATGTAATCTGTCAGCATCCTACTGCCCCTGCCAAAGACTTTCTTTTTTTTTTTAATATTTATTTTTCTTTTATGTGTATATGTGTATTGCCTGCACGTAAATAAGTGTCATGCAATGTCTGCAGACGTCAGAAAAGGGTCACATTCCCCTGGAACTGGAGTTACAGAGAATTGTTAGCCACCATGTGGGTGCTGTGAATGGACTCCAGGTCCTCTGCAAGAGCAGCCAGTGCTCTTAACCACTGAACCACTGAGCCATCTCTCCAGCCCCTTTTTTTTGGTCTTGAGACAGGGTCTCTCTGTAGCCACAGCTGTCCTGGAACTCACTATGTAGACCAAGCTGGCCTTGAACTCACAAAGATCCGCCTGCCTCTGCCTCCTGAGTGCTCGGATTAAAGGCAGGCGCCACCATCCCTGGCTGCTGCTGTTCCTCCTCCTGTTCTTCCTCCTCCTCCTCCTCCTCCTCCTCCCCTCCCCCTCCTCCCCCCCCTCCTCCTTTTTTTTTTTTTTTTTTAAAGGCAGGGTCTCCCTGTAGCCCTGGCTTGCCTGGAATACTATGTAGGCCAGGCTGGCCTTGAACTTACACAGCATTGCCTTGCCTCTGCCTCCCAAGTGCTGGGATTAAATGTCTGTGCCACCATCCCTGGCCCATTTTATCCTTCTTACAAACTGGTTACACTGTCACAGTCTCAGGCATGTTGGGCAAGACAGGAGACTCTGGGGTAGGAAGCAAAGGACTCTATCCCCAAGCTCAGCCTGCAGGATGACACTGGCCCATTTGTGTCAGTCCTGCATGCCTCTAGTTCCAGGTAACACATGGGCCTGGATGGTACTGGTGATGAGTGGGTTCCGTAAGCATTTAAAGAATACTCAGCATGAGAAACTCACAATTTTTATAGCAGACAGTTAAGCCTGTTGTCTTTAAGGTTCTAGATAAATCCTGAATGGTCCAGGCAAATTGTTGCCAGAGCCTTGCAGTCTCTGTACATGTAGCAGGCTGTGTTGGAACAGAGGGGACTAAGAGCTTGAAGCCTTTTCAGTGTTGTTCTGTTTACTCTTCTTGTGTATTTGTCTCTTGTCTATAAACCAATGCCTCACACCACGTAGGCCCTTGCACAAGAAGCACTCAATCAGACAAGGGACTAAGAGATGACAGACAGCCTGACCAAGAACACAGACAAATTAGTTTCAAAGACTTTGAAATCAATTCCTTCAAACGTTTGGCCTCCGGTTTGTCAGCTACTCATCAATTACAAGAACCGAGTGAAAGCTACAGGACACTTCTGGTCCATCTTTCTTTATGAACTACTGGTCTCAATCCCCAGCACAGCGAAAAGAAAACAAAAACAAACATCAAAAGCCCTGCCTGTTGCTAAAATAACAACTGTCATAAGAGACATTCTAGAAACAGCCATTTTTCTTTCTAGAGATCTTGTCTCCTGGCTCTGCTGACAAGGCAACTGTAGCTGAAAGGAAGACCCCATAATTATGCCATTAGCACAATACTGAGGTGAGACAACAGCCCTAAGTGCCGAGCACTGAACATTTTTTTTTCCCTATGGGATTATAATTTTGGTCTTTACCTCCTACCCCAGTCCCAATTCATATCATGATTTTAGTATGTAGATTCCAAAGTTTCAGTCTTTAGATACACACTAACTATAACTGTTCTAAAATAACAACCAAACTTTGGTAAGTCTCAGATTTTAACTTATAACAGGTTAAAGCAACAAATATCTAAGACTAAAGGGAACAAAGATGAGACCAGCAGCTGCAATAAACAATATTTAAGGAATAGCTCAGAACATGGACACTGATGGCTGTTTCAGATGCACAAAATGACAGGCATCAATAAAATGACATGACTTTAAGTGCTTAGCCAATGGCAGAGTCTGTGAAGTACCAGCTGGTGGCCTGGAACTAATGCACGTACACTGATGGTTGGATGCTGAGGCCTGTGCTATTACCAGAAGGGATGGAGAATGAAGCAGTGGGGAAGCAGGGCATTTTATTCACATGGCACACCTGTCCACCCCCTAGGTTCACAAAACATATCTTATCTGTACTATTTCTCTGTGTGTTTCTATGAGATTTCAAGGAAAAATATTTTCTTCTAAAGCTATAGTGATAAAATGAACATTAAGTTCATAATTTTTAGCACACTGTCATATTGTGAAAGCAGATTTGTCTTTGGGGTATACAATGCTCAGCAAATGGGCTAGTGTAAAAATACTGGGCACTAATCAATTATATATCAGAACCAAACTAATCCCATCATATTGGAGGGTATTTAATATGAAGCAAATTAAGCTTCCCAAATTGTTTAAAAATGAAGTTTGTAATTTAATGAGACAAAAATGGAAATAGTTTAAGTAATAAATGTTTAATCAAAGAATTTTACATATTATTAACAGCATTCATTTGGCCAAACATCTACACGTTTGTAGAGTCCTACTGTATATAAAGTGGGAATGTATCAAGTATAGATTATGAAAGTGCAAATAACAAGTCAAGGTTAGATTAGCTTTTTTTACATTATAAAATTAACTTGTTTACAAAATAGGCTTTGCCAAACGTTATTACTGAACTGTAAAGTCAATGACTGTGTTGTTTTTAAAATATGTACCAAGGAAATACAAACTGGATAATGATCGGTCTTCATGCTCAGGAGAGACCAGCACAGAAACAAAGGACACTGCACAGGGTGTAAGGAAACCAGAACCCACCACAAATGCATTTTCTCACAGAGTACCCTCCTCTCCTCGCTGCAGCTGTGCACCACGCCTCCAGCGATGCAAATGCTTTCTACTGGAAAACTTGCAACTACGTCTCAAAAACCTAATGATGTTAATATTTTTAATCCCAAATAAATCTGTAAAAAAATCCTTTAATGGACTATTTCAGCTTAATATACAGTAATACACTGTGGAAAAAGTTAGTATTTATCCCCACTGACTTATAATAGGTACTGGTATCAATGTTGTGGTAACTGCAATAGGGACCTTTGATATCCATGGAGTAACTCCCAAACAGTTTATCCTAGGGGAGTTGGGGGAATATTAAATACTCTAATATAATGTCTTGGCCATATGAATTCAAAGTAGAAGAATATTTCAAAAACAAGGTCTGAAAAAAAGTAATAAAAAAACCCCATGACAATCATGGATATCAATATTAAATACAATCTTTTACCCAGTCTAGGACTTCCCTGTACAAAGTCAACATGGAAATTTTGGTTTCTGGAGATTTCTGGTAACAATCTGGCAAAACATTAAATGGAGTGTTGTGTGTATCTATCTTGTTTATGTTATGCTAGTTTTAATAATATGCAAGTAAAACAGCCATTCCAACAGTTTACTCTAGTTTTAATTACACACTGTACCACTGTATCTTAATTACAACTAAAACCAATTATTTCTTCACAGTAAGACACTGATAACTAGGAAGCTGATTTCTTCAATACTAAACAGTAATCACACAGCAAATGAGTATTGTGTAAGAGAACAAACACATGTCAGCATTTGCTATCTAGGCAAACGAACTGAACATTTAATTGTTACTATTTACTATAAAGGCAAGGCCATGGGTGGTTTCATGGAGATCTTTGCAATTCATAGCATAGTTACTTCAAAAGAGACAATGAAATGTGAATTACTGACTTAACTGGCAACTATCCATTTAGGTTAGGCAAAGGCACGGTAACATGTTGCGTAGGATGTTTTATTGATTTTTTTTTTAAAATAACTGTGGGATTTAATATAACTAATGAAAACTCCACTTTTTCTATTTTATAAAACACCATTAAAAGTAATTGCACCCATTAGTAATTAGAATACACTGTAAAACTGTGAAAACAAAGAACTATGATTGCACTTCCAATAAAGTGTCTCTTAAAATACAGCACCGCCGTTGCTAATCAACTGTATTTTAATATTAAAATAAACTGTTTTTAACAGCAGCATTAGGTTTAGTTAACTACAGACTACATTTATTTAAATGCAGTTTCCATGGCAAAAAAAGCCCATTAAATTCGGGAACATCATTGCTACTGAGTGGCACCTTTTACTCCCAAGAACACTGACACTGCCCTGGAGCCCGCTAGGACGCGGCACACCTGAACGTCTTGTTAGTCAGTGCACAAGTCAGAGTTTGGCACAACTGGACTGTAAATAGACATGAGAGGAAATCTTTGATTCATGTGAAAATGAAAACTAATCTCACTGTGGTAGATGCAGTACTCAAAGAAGCATGGACACCTCAACTCACACTGCTCAGAAGTAAAGGAGGTTATGGAGAGACTGAGGACATACAGGTTATCAGATCTGTCTAACTGAACTTCTAAAATGAAGAAAGCTCTGTATTTATTTTTTTTAAAGAGAAAAGCCATCCAAAGATTACAGAGTAAGCGTCTGATTTAAATTCAACTTAACTATTGCCAACTCTGGGCTAAACAGAGCACTGCATTCTCTCAGAATGTGTACTACAACCTAGTTATTTCATCTGTGTTTCTCCTTTTCTCCTGCTGTTCTTTTTGTCAGCAAAAAGGGGATAAACAAAGCCTGTAAGGTGAAAATCACAACTGAGGCTATCGCTGAAGGGAATGCCTTTATAGTCAGTCAATCCTGACACCAGTGGTTTATAATTGAGTTGGAATTAAGTGGATCAAATTTCACTATAAAGCATATTCCACCTAGCATACCACTTGTACCTGCAATTCACCTGGAGAGTAAACGTGCGCAGTTCATACTAAATGTACTTGCTCCAGCCAGTCACCTGAGGTTTGACTGACAACATCTGACTCATCCCCTCTATTGGCTGCCTCGTTACTATGGTCACCAGCCTGAGACAATCCTTCCTCAGGCAGAATATTCTTTTCCAAAGGATTTTCTTCTATCTGGGTCCTTCCACCTTCATGCACACCTGCATCTTCAGGCAGTGAGTCTTCTGGTGGTACTAGGTCCATGTCCCTCACCCCTTCTGACCCATCATCTTTGACACAGGGAAGCTGAGGACCTGCACTGACTTCTGTGGCTGCTGCTGGGGGTATCAGGGCAATGCTTTGAGGGTTCATGTCATGAAACCAAGCCATAATATTGCCAAGAAGATTGTCACTGGCATTGGGGTCCTGGCCAGCTGAATCAGGGTCACTAGATGAAGGACAGAAATCACTTCTTGCCTCACTGAGAGGGTGTGAACTCAAAGTGTCAGTTGAAAATGGGTCACTTTCTGCTCCCAGTCTCATGAGGCTGTCACCAAGTTCCAATAGCTCAGAGCTGCTCAGAGCGGCCTGAGGACTATCTGTATTCATGGGGACAGAGTCCAGCCGGGAAGGTAAAGAAGTGCCTATAGCTCCTAGGGATGCTTCATTACTGAGGAAATCTCTAGTTTCTTCATCGATGGCCAGTCCAGACTCTTGAAGTGACAATTGTATTGCAAGAAGTATATTGGGATCATCTTCATCCAAGGAACTCAGAGCCTAAGGCAACAGAAAGTAAAACCACTTTAAAATGTGATTAAAGGAAAAATAACTTATCTAATCATATTTACCAGTCTTGCTTTATCAGGTAACTAATACTACTTCCATTTATAGAGGCTCTTTTATATATGTAAATATTATCATAATTTTCTTTCATTATGCTAAAGGCAAAAAATATAAATATGAAATGCAGGAACATTTACATGTACCCTATCATTGAAACAACAATTTTATCACAAAAGGAAGAAAAGGGAAAACAGTACAACTAAGGAACCACTAAGTACACAAAGAGCAAAAACATGGGTGGTGAGCACCACCAGCAAGGCTATACCTGAAGAGAGTCCTGGTTTTCTGAGCGACTGGCAGGGGTATAGTCACGCAGAGAAGAGCTGTGCAGCACACTCATAGATGCAGAACTCACCACGGATGCGCCAGGCCTGCGGCCACTACCACCCTCTGGGATATCTGATTGAAAGCAATGGTACCACAGAGAATTAGTGACAAGTCAGACTCTGTTCTTTTTGTGCATCTTTTTAAAATGGCAAGTTCTCTTTTGGTGCTAGTGAAAAACTCATGTTCATATGCACATGTCAGATCCCTTGGAACTGGAGTTACAGAGGGGCTGTTAGCTGCCATGTGGGTGCTGGGAACAGAACCTGGGTCCTCTGTGAAAGCAGTGTACTTAGTTTCTGAGCCATCTCTCCAGCCCCTTCCTTCAGATTTCTTAAAATTAGAGTTTTGGAATTACAATAGCCCAAAGAACAAATATGTAGTCCCTCTCAATGGTCTATAGAGATTTTGCAACTAATAACTTAACATTTAAAAATCAAATAATTAAAATAGTTCTCTCTGTTTTTTAAGAATATCTCCAGGAAAACTAAGGCCCCAATTCCTCAAGGCACTTGGATATTTCAGGCTCTGGTTTCTAATCCTGTATAAGTTTGAGAGGTATCCTACAAGAGTCCAACTAAACTTACAGAGTAAAAAAAAAATTTACAGAGTAAAATAAGTGTAGTAATGGTATCAACAGCTACATTTTATTGAGTGCTCACAAGGTATTTTACATGCATTACCTATTTTGATGGTCATTGTGAACGCATGAAGTAAATTGTTTCTATTGCTTCTTTAGGCTAGGGAACTGAAAATTAAGAGATGGCAAGTACCTTGATTAAAGATACACAACTGACTTTACAGCAGAGATGGGTCCAGGACTGTCCTACCTCATAGTTTTTAAGCTTCCTGTTTTCTTTATCATGTGAAAATAGAGGCGCTTGCTCATCTACTGTGAACCTAAATTACAAACTCATAAACACTGACATAAGCCAATTTTAAAGATAAATTCAAACAACTAAACACCTAAGCGACATTTCCCCACAGCTCACCAAAAGTGCTTTCACTTGGCTCATCAGGGTCTGGAGGATTACTGAGCAGGCTGTGCAGATCTCCTCGACGGCGCTGCTGTCTATGCCTCCTCCGATACTGAAATTCAGCATATTCCTGCATAAACCAAAGGTTATAAAATACAGGAGAGCATGCAAAATTTAAAAATGCAAATAAAACAAAGATCACACTTTTCTCCAGGAGAAAAAAAATGTGTGATTTTATACGTTATAAAATCAATTGGCTTTAGAAAAGCAAAAAGTTTTGCCATGCCAAGAAAATGAAAAAGGTAAATGTAAAAAGAAAGCTTTCTAATGGTCATCACTTAAACTGACTTAATTGGGAATACTTTCAAGCTCCAGTGTTGGGTGTTAACTGGGTGTTAGTTACTTCAGATACTTGATGCTTTCAAGGGTCTTATCTAAAATTACAACTGGTACCACAACCATTTTACTAATAGATGTTAGGCTTTCCCTGAGAGTCTAGTTTTTCCAAAGTGATTGTGATATATGCAAGGAGGGCCAGTGGGCAGGAGCAGGAAGGAGTTATAAAAGTAGAAAACCCCAAATGATACGCACTGTTAAGTACTTGCCGAATCACTGAAACTTTGTGTCTACTACATACCACACTCATAAGTCGAATGATTAAAAGAAATACGCTAGGTTAGCTTGAAAATAATACATCATTGAGCTTCCTTTTTTCATCAGCAAACATGTGGTATTATCTTTAACACAGGGAAGTATTTTTTATTTAGCTTTTGGGAATCAGGTAAATGTCCAAGAGTTTGTTTTACATTTGTGACAACAATTTACGATAGGTTTGTTACTACAGAGGCTATATCTGAGGTATCTGCTACAGATTTCAGTGATATGAAATGAGATTAAATGAGATGTCAGGGTGTATGACAGCATAAAAAGGCTAATTTTGAGAGTTATTGTAGACTCTCCTGGGGTTAAACACTAAGATCCTCAGATTTATGATTTATCTTAGTTACTTCTGAGTATTCAATATACTTGTGAAAGTATTAGGGATAAGAGAAAACAGGCTATATGCTACAAAACTTTCACACCATACCTATCTGGATCAATCAATCAATCGTTAGATACTTAAATTTATTTAAACTCCATCTATCTAGATGGGAGGCATCCTACCAGGCTAGAAGCCAATGAATGAAAGACCCAGTGCCTGTAGGGTCATGTAGTCTTGTAATACTCCTTGTTGTCTGGGCAGTATTTATTCTTCCGAGAGGCCTATACTCTTGGACTGGATGACTTACTATATCATTATGGCTGCAGGACTAGTGTAGACACCATATCTCCTAGACAAAGACAGCAGGAGAATTTTACCTCATTTAAAGGTTCATATTTAGGGAGAACGTACTTACTTTTAGAAGACGATAGTACAAAGCTATTCTGAATTATATGAACTATTACTGATCATAGACTATTCGTATTTGGAATTTAAGAAAACAAAACAATTTAAAAACTGCAAAACAAACTTGTTCTAGTTCTAGTTATGCTCACAGAAAACTCTAAATGGTATTCTGTCATGATGCAACAGGTTTAAAATAGTTTCTCATGAAATTATCTGAGTATTTCCAAGGAATTCTAAACTTTTCAATGAGCATATGAAAAAACAGGATGCTCCAAATGGTGTGAGAGTGTTAAGATCATAGAGAAGATTTTTTTAAAAGCCATCAGATTCTTTGTTGCCAGTTTTCTGTTTTATGTAACAGCTAGCATTTACTGGACAATTTTATCAGTGTCTTCATGGACACCCTAATCCTGCCAGAATTTCCGTCCTCCCAATTTTAAAGATGAGAAAATAAGGGAAAATACAACCTAAGCTCTTAGAAAGTTACAGAACTAGAACTTGAATTCATGTGTTCCCGAGATCTTAAGGCTTCCTTCTTCTCACTAAGCTCCACTGCCCTAAAAGTAGCGTGAAACAAATATTTATGCCTGCCACAGGCTTAGTCAAATCAATTTAATGAGAGTATGATGAAATTAAGTGAAAAAAATGTAAACTTGGGCCTTAAAGTCTGTGGAATATGGTAACATTATTTCCCATAATTAACATTAAGGCAAAGAATCAACTTAAAAATCTTTAATTTGGGCAGTTACTTCTGATAGTTAAGTACAAAAATATGTAAGTCTCACAATGTACTCTTTTATATTTTTATGTGTATGAGTGTTTTGCCTGCATATATGTGAGTGTACCACATGCATGCAATGCCCATGGAGGCCAAAAGAAGGCATCAAATCCCCTGGAACTGGAGTTACAGATGGTTGTTAGCCACCACATGGGTGCTGGGAACCAAACTCAGGTCCTCTATAAGAGAGGCCAGTGCTCTTAACAGCTGAGTCATTTCTCCAGCCCAACAATATGTTAATTATTTAGATTCGATGTAAAGAATTGCAATACACCCAACACTTTTAGGAGTAAATTATTTTGGTCAAATATAACATTTTTTTCTTTTGCTTTGGGACAAAAGTCTCACTATATAGTCTTGGCTGGTCCTGAACTTACTGTGTAGCCTAGACAGGCCTTGAGCCTGCAATGATCCACCTGCCACTGCTTCCTGAGTGTTGCCATTATAAGCATGTGTTACCATGGCAGACATATAAAAGAAATTTCAGAGACAGTCATGTGTAATAGCAAGCCCAAAGATTTCAGGATTCCTAAAGTTACTGTCAGAGGCAGATGCTGTAGAATGATACATAAATGATTGTGAGTTCAAAAAAGTTTTATTTTTGCTAAATTGTTCCCGAATTTTAATGAAAGAAACTTATTTTTTTAGGTGGAAAATTTCAACATCCCCCCAAAATGTAATGATATTATGACACTGAAACATTAAGCCTAGGATTGGGTAAATAATAAGGTTTTTAATTTGTTTCCTAGTTAAAAACTTCATCAATATATTAATTATGTTTGCAATTTAAGTGTATTTAAAATTTCTGCTCAAAGCAGAAACTCAAGTCTATTTTCCTGCATTTATCTACCAATACAAAAGGCCTCAGGGTGATTGCAAAGTATCCTGAGCAGCTGAGAAAGGAAGCATCTGATTTAAATAAGCCATAGTCATTTCTTGAGAATTGCTTCTACTGTCTTTCAGCTTCAAAAAACAATTGGGCAACGATGATGAACAAAGGTTTCATCATTTGTCATCCCCTTCACAAGAAGTAAATTCAAGTATTATCAAATGACGTATTATTTTATAAAGAACAAAGGAGACCAGAATGGAAAGAACTGTTAAAACTATTTTAACATCAGACAAAACAGTGACAGTGGGAATTTAAGTCTCAGGAAACAGCCACATAACTAAGATTTTTACTAGGTCTTAATTTTATTTGCTGCAATTGCTATTTAAAGTATTAACTGTTTGAAAATCTCTGTATTTTAAAAATGGTTTGTCAATAATAATAACAAGAAACCAAGAAAAGTATGAAAGTCTTAAAGGGAAGCAAGAAGGAAACAGGCACAGCATTTTTCTGTACAGACATAATTACTGTTTGTTTTGTAAGTTTCCACCTTAGCAAATGATTACAAATCACTTATTTCAGGTGGTTGCAGCAACCTCAAAAAAAAAGTTCACTTAGGTTTTTAATATGTTCAGACTAAAATAAATACACAAGTCTACTAAATAAAATTCATAGCTCTATTAATAAACTAGATGCTTCCAAAAATTTATACTGTATATATTTGACTAAATTCATTTAGTAATTCAGATTAATATAAGGGGAATGTACTGTTATACTCCAATATAATAAACAGCTGAATGCCAGCTCTGTCAAGGCATTTCTGTTACAAAAGAAAGAGAGCATCACTGATAATTTCAGAAGATTTAGAACAGGGGAAGGCGCAAATGCAAGCAGGGTTGCATGAAGGAAAAAAATATGAAAATAAAAGCCCCAGCAAAACAATTACCTCAGGTGATGCAAATCCTAAATATTCCCAATCCCATGTTCCACCAGCAAAGCTACAAAGAAATTAGACACACCGTTTGATTTATTATCAATACTACAAAGTATAAAACCAGACCCTCACCCTTTGAACATTACTTTTAATTCTTCTGATTATAATTTGTCAAATCAAAGTAGATTCACTACTAAAATACAATTACTTCCACTATTATTATTAGTTTTGGCTTTGTTAGGACAGGTCCCACTATGTAGCCATAGCTAGCCTGGAACCCGTCATGCAGACCTTGAATTTACAGAGGCCTGCCTCTGCTTCGAGTGCTGGGATTAAAGGCATGCACCACCATGTCCAGCCCATTATATTTAAAAAAAATTCTAAGTTTCTTTACACTTGTGTGATACAATAGAGAAAATAAAAATGACCACGTTATAGAAAAGTATTCTGATTGCTTTCATTTTCATTTTGTAAGTAAATATTTATTTATATTTATGTAAAAATAAGGTCAAAGGATTTTCTAGTGCTGTCAATTATAATAAACAAGAAATATACTTTAATTTATAATGGCAGAAGTATGTACAAGTATTTGGAACATAACAACCCAAACTGCTGCTCTTTAAGGGATGACAGTGGATGATTTAAGTAACCTTATAAATAGAAGACTTCTCATTTCCTTACAGCTTGGCAACACAAAAATACAAATGGCCATAACAAACTGGCCAAGTTTCCAAATTCTATGTCCTAAATTGTTTATAATATATTACTACACATATTAAATTTGAAGTGACACATCAGAATAGTCTGGATTATGAGTTCTGAAATGTGAAGTTAATTTAGCCTAACTCAGTCCAAAGAGCTGCACAGTGGTAGACCAACAAACAAGCAAACAAAATCATTCAGAAAAGAAATCGTACTGAGGAAAAAATATCAAAAAGAATTTAACATACTTTTATCAGTTACGTTTTAGGTGTAAGTAACTTCCAAGAGTACGAGTCTTAGTTGGACAAAAAATAAAAGTCCTGTGTTGGTTGGTGGCTCAGGCCAGGGTGGGTTCTGTAGTGCACAAACTTTACCTGCGCCTTGGAGCTTCTGGTGAGTCTGCAGGAGCAACTCCACGTGCTACGGATGCCAGGAATTCTTGCCTTTTCTGCTGCACAAGGCATGCTGCCTTGATGATCTTGTGGCGGGGTGTACGAAGATAAGGCCTATTGACTTTTTGGGCAAGGTCTTCGGTGACCATTTCTAGGTCTGTCTACAGCAAGAGATGGAAGAAGGGTTACAGGCTGAATGGGTTAGTAAGCAGATGCAAAGTCCAGCTGGGTTCTCAGTGAGGTTTACTTCTTTTGTAGTAAGAAACTTATCCAAATGTTGAAATAATTTCCTATTTAACACACTTGATATTTTCTATGTTTTTCAGGTTATGAAAGGATCATGTTTCAAATCCTACATGCAAGAAAATAGCATTCATTTGATAGGCATTTATAATAAGGTCGTAGGTATAGATTACCAAGTAGTGGAGCATGTCAGCTGTCTAAAAGGAATTTATTATTTGTCTATGTGGAAAAACACAACAACAAGAAGCTAGTACACTCAGGGCATTTGCACAAGCCAAGTGTACAGAGTGTGCTGTGAGACATAGTTTACACAAATCCTGAAGGAATCTGAGGCAAGGTAAGACTACTGTGATTTGGGGTTAGGTCTGAAAGGTTTTTTGGAGAAAACAAATATTGAACCTTAAAAGAAATGTAGACTACAAATTAGTAGAAGGCAGTTTAAAAGGATGAAATAAAAATCACAATGGGGAAAACTATGGTGCTTTCCAATAAGGTTATATAATGCACTTGGTAAGCTATAGTGAGGTAGGCTTAGGCTATGACTTTTGAGTTGTAGTTCTGAAATAAAATGGTAAAGACTAACTTTCTCATGCAGTTCTCAAGGTGGTTCATTTCATCTCTGAAGATAAAAATCTCTGTTACATAAGAAATAGGCCAGATTTCTACCTCACCTGGTTTAAAATAAAGAAATGCTGTTGAGAATTTGCACAGCTCAGAACTCATTTAAACCTTGCAGTGATACACTTAAACGTAATGAAAATTTTAGTTTGTTAATTTTCCTTTACTTATAAACCATTTTAAAATAAAAATAAAATTGTTTTACTACTCACACTTCACATTAGTCAAAACAAAGTTAAGCAGTTGAATAGGAGAAAACCTGCTTTCATAATTGCTACCACTTCAAATATAATTTTAAAAGATATCTTACTTGCATTAGTTCAAAAATTTCTTTCTTTGTGCTTTTAGGTTCTAAGAAAAATCCATACGGATAAGAACACTTGAGAATACGCCGAGTTTTTAAGAGCACATGAACTGCATCTTCAATGAAAGTGGTATCTGGACAGCCTCCTTCAGCTATAAAGTAATTGAGGCACAGTAAATGCTTTTGCAAGTATTTTATTGTAGAATTTATAAACAATTATGTTAAAAAATTCCCTAAGGATAACCTGGAATAGCAATATACTACTTATTTCAATTAGCTTAAAAAAAATCTATATAGACACTTGTGTGTGACATGACGTGTATGTGCTGTGTTTGTAGGTAAGGCACAGCCCTTCGGCCCAGGCGCCATGAAGGAATTTGAACAAATGTCTTTGCTAAGCCACTTGCTTCTTCTTTTTTTAAAGGCCTAATTATAACTATGCACCTTCAAAAACAATACTGTTAAGGGAAAGGATATTAAATTCTTGAAGCAACTAGATATTTAACGCTAATATGTAAAAATCTTCAGAGAGATAAAGGAAGAGGAACAAGGAGAAGAAATTGCTTTAATAAAGGCAATGCTATCATTATAATACTCTGTTTTCACTGCAAATAAAATGAAATTAAGCTGTATTATCAAAATTGTAAGTATTGCTGAAAATCAGACTCAGCATGCCTTTAGAAGATGCTACATACGGAATACCCTACAATGTCTGAGTACACTCAGTCCCTAGGGTAGGTTTCTGAGTTAGGATGTGAATCAAAGGGAACCAAACACCCCTTGTCTTTCATTATAATACATGTGAGAAATATGTGAAGTAGACTGTTTCCTACTTTCCAATTGTTTTATCTTTTAGTGTTTTTCTATTTTACAATGCTTCCTGGAACCTCTAGTATACTGAGTAAAAGCAACCATTTGCATTTTCAAACACTGAATGTTTATTCTATGTCAGGTACAGTTCTAAACACTGGGGATACATTAGAGGTGAAGAGATAGAAATCCCTGTTAAAGAAATACATACTCTGTGAACCTTTTTTCTTCCAGTTTCACTGTAGATGACATTTCCAGAGTTTAATATTGGTATGGTAAATTTATATCATTTATAATGTCTTCAACTTGATAATTAACAAGGTCACTAGGTGGCTATTGAGACTTCCTACATTCTAATTTATTTAACTTATGGCTACTGTGTTATTAGGGAACGAGTTTCACAAAAAAGGGTATGAGAACTCAATATTTTATAAACTGAAACAAATATAACATCAAAATTTCATGTTTACAATATACTTTTCACATAAAAACTATAAATGCTTTAAAAATGTGACTTTTAAAAGCAAGCACACTAGAATCTCTGTGCTGTGTAGTCATTGTGGAACACTGTGTGCTAATGACGCAACCAACACTCCATCCATATTCAGGGATTTAAAAAAATTATTTATTTTATTTTATATGTCTGAATGTTATGCCTGAATGTAAGTGCACCTATGTTGTGCAATGCCCATTGGGGGCCAGAAGAGCTATGTCAGATCCCCTGGAACTTGAATTACAGATGACTGTTGGCTGTCATGTGGGTGCTGGGAACTGAACCTGGGTCCTCTGTAAGAGCAGCCTGTGCTCTTAACCACTGAGCCATCTCTCCAGCCCAAGGATTTTTTTTCCCCTAACTTTCAATTGGGAATCCACAAGTTAGGCCTTCCCATCAAGGCTTTGCCTCAAACTCTGTTTGACTTCACAAGAATCTTTGTGTACTCAGTGACAACTGCATAACCTATGTACCTTGCTCCCTTTAACTAGGCTAGGAAAGCCTTTTAGAACCCATTCTCTTTTGCTTATACAGTAAGCAAAACTATGGTGTGGTACTGTCTGGTACCAGCAAAGGCTGCATTAGGAGGAGGGGTAAAGTGTCTAGTAGATACCAGTCACAGAGCTTCATCTGCTAGGATGCATTCAGGGCTAAATAGAACTCTGTACAGTGCCAGAAGTGGCTAATGGACCTATTGTCTTTCTTTAGGGTACTACCCTCCTATCAGTGAGCCGACTTAGTACAGAAAGATTTTATAGTAATTACCACATATACAATGTAGAACTTACTTTCTTTGAGAGCTCTACTTAATTGTTCCATCTTTTCTTTGGCTGTTTTAAGAAGGCGTTGTTCTAACTAAAGAAACAGAAATAAATTAATTTAAATAATTTTATTTAATAGGGTCTCACTACATAGCTCTGATAAGCCTGGAACTCACTATGTAGATCAGGTTGGCCTTGAACTAACAGAGACCCACCTGCCTCTGCCTCTCAAGCGTTCGGATTAAAGGCAGGCATCACCATACCCAACCCCTCTAACAAAATAATTTAGCTCATTTCAAATGATTTCGGACATACCTGGTAACTATGCTCATGGTTTTTAAATCTTGTGTAATAGTGCATAAATCTGTCAAGTTCCTGAAACCGTTTATGTTTTTTCTCAGCCTAGGAAACAAAAATACACAAATAATTTTTATTAAAACTACCATTAAAATTGCTTCAGAGGGATTACAAGCTTTATCAGTAATGGGTAATAAAACATCTATGTTGAGAGAATATAATGACCAATATATTTTAAAGGCTCTTGGAACAAAGTTTTACATTTGTACTCTCTGTGATAAAACAATGAATCCCTAACTCCACGTCTTCGACGTTTTATTTGATGGTTTTATTGCAATGGACTGATTTGTATTCCCTCAGAATTCACAAAGAAGCCCTAGGATCCAATGTGACTTGCATTTGGAGACAGGGCTTGTGAGGATATGATAGGTTAAGTAAGGTCATTACTGTAGATTTATCCTGATAAACTGCTGCCTATGCAAGAGGTATACACAGGAGGTCACGCTTAAGCAGGTGTTACCTCCACGGTCATCTCCTTGGATTGCTCCTCCACATGCTGAATGACTTCATAACGAGTACATCTGTAATAACCTCCAGTTGAAGAACTATGCTTTTTCCATTCTTCTAGGCAAATCCAGCAAAAGTCATACTTGCACTTCAAAAGAAAACATACATACAAATCTCTCCATACATTAATACATAAATGATGCTCTGCTTGAGACAATGTGTAATCTTGTAAAGATTATACATCCTGATTGTGCTGTGTGATTAGAAACCAATCTTCTCAAAGACAAGCCCTTTTTGTCATGTATTAGATAGTTTGAACCTGTTTCTTTATTTTTTATTTATTTGGTCCTTTGGGGATTTAGCTCAGTGGTAGAGTGCTTGCTTAGCAAGCACACGGCCCTGGGTTCGGTCCTCAGCTCCGGGGAGGGGGGGGTGTGCAAAAAAAAAAAAAAAATAAGGTCTTATTATGTAGCCCTGGAACTCCCTATATAAACCTGGCTGGCCTCCAACTCACAGAAATCCACCTGCCTCTACCTCTGCGGGAATTAAAGGTGTGCACCACCAAGTCCAGTAACATTACAATTTTTAAATAAAACTACTGAAATAGAGGCATGAATTAATAAAATGTTACATATATATATATATATATATATATTGTTGTTGTTGTTGTTGTTTTCTTTTTTGGTCTTTTTGAGACAGGTTCTCCCTGTTAGCCCTAGCTGGCCTGGAACTCACTATGTAGACCAGGCTGGCCTTGAACTCACAGAGATCCGCCTGCCTCTGCGTCCTGAATATTTTACGCCCAGCATAAAATATTATTAACTGAATTCCATGACTTTTGAAACACATAGGGTAGCTTTCGGTGCAATGAAATCAGTAGAATAGATACTTTCAATACCCTAAAGATAATTGTTTGTATTAATGGTTTTTCAGTCAAGTGTATCATTGTTATTTTAATTTCTTTAAAATTTTATTATTTTTATTTTATTTTACGTGTATGAATGTATTGCCTGCATGTGTGTAAGTGTGCCCATGTCATGCAATGCCTGAGGAGGTCAGAAGAGGGTGGCGACAGATCCCCTGGAACTGAAGTTAGGGTGGTTGTTAACTGTCATGTGGGTGCTGGGAATCGAACCCGGGTCC